GTGGGTGTCCCCGGGGAGGAGAAGGTCGGTGTCTGGGGTCAGCTCTTGATCTTGGAAGGTTAGGGAGTTCCGCGGGTTTGTGTGGAACGGGAGGGTTGCGGGAACACTGAGGCGTTTGTCAGGACCTCTGTCCTCTTGGGGACTTTGGCAGCCTTCCACCTTGCTATGGCCTCAGGCTCTCCCTGGGCAAAGTGGAGAGAAGGGCCCTGTAAAACAGTATGGGAGAAACCTGGTTGGCGAGGTACAACAGATGCGAATGGCACTTACTTCTCACCTCTGGTGCTGTAAGGAGAGGCTCTTACTGCCTGCTGGTCACCTTGCTGAAAGGGCGCACAGCGTCTTTCCTTGGAGGCTCAGCAAAGGGGAGAAGGATGCAGCCTGTTGTCAGTGCTCTCCTGCTTCTCGTGGGAGCTTGTTTTTGGCAGAGCGAGGCCTGCTGCTGGCTCTTGCTCTTCCTGAGTAGTGGGTTCGGTCCTGGCTGAGCCAGAAGGACGTGATAGTGGAGGCTTCCTTGTCGCGGAAGTCGTGGGTCATCTGCTGACTGGTAAACGAGCTTGCGAGTGAGTACGTGCCCCCATTGAAAGCAGCTGCCAGGGAAGTTAGCAGTGCAAAATTGTTTTGAATTGCAAGACCTGCAGTTCCGTTTCCCATCCCAGGGCATAATTTAACGGGTCCTTGCACAGCAGCTTAACAGTTTGTTGAAGGGGTGCTGGCTCACAAAGCTTTCGCACCCAAAAAGCCTGGACGCTGGCTCTTGAGACTTGAAGAGTGGACATGTTGCACGTACAGAAATGTTTTGCCTGGAGCGCTGGGGCTTGGAAAGCAATTAGGCACCACCACAGATGAAGGGGATGCTCCTGAATTATGCAGAATAATTTCAGAATTAGCTATTACTACTTTTTGGATCAGCAAGAGATTAGATAATACAAAAGAAGAGATAGTAGCAGTTGACATGGACTTCATTCATATGCTGGCATGCTGGTATTCACATTGCTATCAGCGGTTTCGAAAAGCAGGGGATGGTTTCCAGGTAGATGTTGCGTATGGAAGGTAACATTTGAAATGACTCGCCACATGATGGTGGGTTTTAGCTTACTGAGTTACCAATTTAAATAGAGCAATGTAGAAACCATACTCTACTGTTCTAAAAATAGCTGAATTTACTAACATGTCATGGAGATTAGCAGTAGGTTGAAAATACCTGAAAGTGGTGTGAAAATAACTGTAACTTTTTGTGGGGGCAGGGAGATCCACCCTGAAAGTGCCAGGATTTGTTGTTGTGACAGATTTACAGGCTCAGGTGTAATCCATCTTCACTTTCGGTGAAATCAAAGTGTTCCTGCGAAGACTGTAAAACTGTGTGGTGACTGCTCGTTTTATCACTTGTTCCTGCTTTTCTGTGAACACTTGTTTGCCTTTCACCCTGGTGCCACTTGTGCCAGGAATATACTTCATCGTCCAGAAGGTTTCAGGTGGTTGTGCTCTGATGCTTTTGAGAAATTGCCAAAATCATCTGGGATCTTCTTCGCCTTCCTGGATTTCGTTGTTGCCCTTTAGTCTCAGGCTGGTTGGCTGGTGTTGGTGGTCCTGCTGACCATGCATCTCGTTGTGTGATTCTTCTGCACCATAACACATGTCTTTGCCTCTCTCTGCCTTCCACAGCTTTCACACGTTTGTATGATGATGTTTAAAACCAAGCTTTCATACAATGCTGTTCGCCTTTATGATTCCCATGGAAAAACCAGGAAATCGACTTCGTAAATAGTTTTGGGTTTTCGGTTTGGCACCTACCAGCATTCTGGCTGGGGCCCTCTATTCTTGTAGCGCTGCTTGTAATTGTCAGCCTTGGAGTGCTTTGCTGTTTGGTTGTAATTTTGCGGCTACGAGCCAAATCCAATGCCTGTAACCCCTGGGTGGCGTGCCGTGGGGCTCGCCTCCGTGCCGAGCCCGGGCCGAGATTTTCCAGCGTAAGTTGAAGGTGTGACTTCGCACCAGTTTGGTTTGCGTGAGCATGCGTTCGAGATTAAACTGGGATTATTTCAGTTTCACTGAAATGCATAAGCAGTCAATAGGAACGTTACTGAAATTAGTTGTACTTTGCTTTGGATAGGAATGTCCATACGTTGTGCAAACTTGAATGAGGGGAACACAGCCCAGTGGATTTTTTTTTCATGATAGGAGCAAAACCAGACAATTACATCTAGCGCTGCTTTCTCACACGGTATATGCTCTGATACATCATGGTCAGAGAAGAATGTGCTAGTGTGACGATTGGCAATGAAAGCGATATGTACAAGTACCTCTTAAATATAATTAAATATGGTTGGCAGTGGCACAGAAATGACGCTGATGCTTCCCACTGAAGCTGAGGGCGTGCGTGCACGCAAGCATTCTCTCCTTGCAGCCTGCCGGGCGTTGCCTTGTACGAGGGCGAGTTCCATCTGTCTTGGCCTTGGTATCAGGAAAGTTGCTTTCTCACTTGAGACATGAGGATTCTTCCTGTTGATGTGGAGAGTAGAACATCTCACCCCAAGCTTTTCTTTTTCTCCTTGCCTAATGTGACAGGTGGAGTTCATGGAGACAGCACTTGGAAAAATTGAATTTTGGCTGGTGGTGCCCTCAGGTGCCTTACTTTTCCCATCACTTGCGTGGTGAGCGCAGGAGTGTCACCAGAACAGGTCTGACATCCCTCCGGGCCTCGTTGTCCCACTCCGTCACCCTTGTCCCTTGGTGGCAGGTCTGCCACCCACACGGGCACGCGAGCTGCCTGCTCCCTGTCCTGCAGGAACGGCTGCTCTCCTCTGTGCAGCCCAGCAAGTTCAGTGGCACTTGGTCAAGTTTAGAGAAGGGGAAACTGGGAGATGGGAATATCTTGAACTTTGATCTTTTAGTGGAAAAAACACCACACTTAATGTTGGCTGTTCTGGAAGTTGTTGGATTGTATGCTGTTTGTAGTGGGGAATGTTTTCTGCTGCATTTGAGAAGTACCTTGTGGGTGTTTTAAACCAGTAAGTGTGTTTTATGTGTGAAAATAACTGAGTGCAATAGGTATAAAATTTCCTACTAAAAATGAGACTTTGACTTTTTCAGCAGCTGTGAATGATTTCCAGCTTTTACTAGATTTTCAGTACTTAGCTTTTTGTAATCGGTATTTTAAAAGGCAGTATTTCTCACATCTCTGCAGCGTTTCAGCAGACCATTGTGTGTGAACCTGCGGTTTTTTCATGTTGAAATATTTTCCCTGAGCAAGCTTGAAATGTTCATCACCGCTCTGCCTTCCTGCCTTTTTTAGGGGTTTAGTGGCAAAAAGAGCCTCTCTCAAAGTGCCTGCACCTTTCAAGTGTTTAGAATAGATTAACATTTTAACATTTAGGCAAATATCTGTTTTCTTTCATGGTATACACTACTTTGTTGACAGGGTTAAAATGCTAGGATCTGATGGTGATTGTAAATCAGTTTCTGAATGTATTTTAATTGAAAGTTAAAAATGGAAATGTCTGTGGCTTCCAGGACTATCCAATAAATAACGGCAAAGCAGCCCATCACAACAGAGATGTTTGGTGCAAGCTTGTCTTTGATGTCTGTCTGCTGAGCGCAATGGACTTCTGCTGGGAATAAACATGACTTGTGATTTCGGGTGTAGAAATACCGGATTTCAGGTGTAGAAGTACTGGCAATGAGCAAGCTTGGTCGTGAGGGTGCTCTTTTTATACTCCTGGGGTATGCCCACCTGGTATGTGTCAGGTGTTCTCTGGTATGTTAACCTAAGCCCTTTTGGTGAAATGGGGACTCATCGATGAGTGAATGGGATTCTTCCTAGTCAGGCTGTGGGGAGCAAGTTATAAAGTAAAAGTCTTTGAGACTTCTGCAGTGAGTGTTACTTAAATCAGTACCTTAGTATTTGGGAATGCATAAAGATCAAAAAAGGTCTTCTACTGGGAAAGTTTCTTTTTTCCCTTTTTATTTTATTCTATTCAAAATCAGTAATTACACCCCCATAACGGCTCCTCTGGTGCAGATGCAGAAGTAAGAGACGAAGAAGAAGAAATTAGTTAGGCATACAGTAATCACAGCAGCGGCTAACTCAGCTGTACAATAGCACGAGAACTAATGCAGCGGCTCCTGGAAGCAATTTATTCATGGCAGCGAGGCTCACAGCTCCTTGTATGTTTTTCCATGAAAATGCATAATGCTTCATTTTTATCGCTGCTCTGTACTGAGTGAATCCTGTCGCAGCAACGGAGCCGGAGTCTGGCTGTTCGTTGTGAGAGGCAGGGGCGAGGGAATATCCAAAGGGGTTGGGGTGCAGACAGCACGACTCCTGCAGCGGTGCATTGGGTCGTGCTGTTACATGCCTGCGAGGGTCAGTTGTTCAGAGGTGAATTCTGCTCTTGCCCAAGCAACAGTAAATCAGTTTTGGCTCGGTCTACGTCAGCTTTATAAAAGCAGAGCAAGAACAAAATTAAGCCCATGTATGGCCATTACTGTAGGTTATTTCAGAGAGTGATGCTTTGGTCAAGGTGGTGCTTACTCTTTTAATGGAGGTAGAATTTTGTCAGCAATGTTATTTTTGGAGAATGAGCCTCCTTTGGGCCATTTGCCTTGGCACAAATTAAAAAAAAATTTAAAAGGATAAAATAAAATAATAATAAAACATAATGATTTATATGGGGCCCTGTATGAGCAACCTTGGTTGTCTATGACGGTGAGCAGGTGGAGTCTGCTCTCGGTTCTGGAGCTCATCTCGAGGGTGTTCTCTTGAATGTTCAGGGCTGGAGACCATCTCCTTCGGATGAGGAACGGGCCCCTCTCAGGCAGCTGTTGATCTTGTGTTCGTGAGAGTTCATGAGAGCAGTGGGAAATTCATGTGTGGCTTTCGCACACAGCAAACAGCAGAGAGGCTTCCTTCCAATAAGAGTAGTGTGTGTGACGTGTACCCGTGGCCCTGGGGATGTAGAAGATAAGTGTCCAGGTGCTGGTGAGCTATTCGGACACTTTTCTCCCCGAGCATTTCTGTGAATGGCAGAATGGTTTTGCAAATGATAGTGGGATTTGTAAAACCGTGTTCTGAAATGGCAAAATGCCTACTGCCTTGGTTTTTAAGGCTGGATCTGTTCATGCTGTCCTTGCACACACCAAATCGTAGAGCAGACGACGTGAGAGCTGTCTGAAGGCTTACTTGCTGGCCTGTTACATGGAGAGGCTTATCCAGAGTGCTTGGTGAAGTACACGGCTGGGGGGAATGGTCACCTCTGGTGGTACGAGTCTCCTTCCGTGCTGGAACTGGACTTCTCGAACTCTGAACCTGTGACCTGGGTCACCTCAGAAAGTGCCGCTGCCCACCTTTGGCAGTGCTTCCTCCTGGTGGGCTACGTCGTGAGTTTCTGCCAAATGAGAAATGTTCTTGGTTAAAATGGGTTTTCACCTTCTTACCAAGAAAAAGCTCTGCAGCAGTACTGACGAAGGAGAATGAGTGGCATTGGTTTTATTTTTGGAGTTAGCAAAGTGACTACGGAAATAGGTAACGGTACCGTTATCAGATCAAATGGTAAGGTTTCTTTGTACTTGTTTAGCTTTGCGTTACGTTTGAAGGTGTGTTCCTCACCTCTGAGCCATCGTTGCCTGTAAGAGGAGGAGCGGTGGTGGGTTTCACTACGGATAAAGGGTGCCCTGAGCATGTGCTTGCAAAGATGAGGCATGCAGGTATTTTTACATCTGAGAAGTACTGCTGTGTGGCGTTAAAACGTATCACATCCCCTCCCTAGCCCCAGATCTGGAGTCTGTATTTAGGGGTTACAGCCGTCTGTACAAAATTTCCTGGAGTTTTGCTAAATGAGGTACAGCTTACGCATAGCATATTTTGTGATACAGATTTGTACTTGCATAGGAGTAAAAAAATAAGTTGTACTGTTGCCAATTCGAGTTTTCCTATTAAGTTGGCGTGTCTGACTCGTGTATTTTCTGTCTTGTTTTGAATCAGAAACAGATACCCAAGGAAGTGGCTGACATTTTTAATGCCCCCAGTGACAATGAAGATTTTGTGGGGTTCCAAGATGATGCTTCCAGACAGAGGTTGTTGTCAGAGGACGGCTCTGCTAGCTTTGGTTCCACGGAGTCAGGAAAAAAGGTAGGAACAGATTGCCGTGGCCCAGTTCCACGCTTTCGGTGCAGTAGTACTCTGAGCTCGTGTCAGGGCTGCATGAGCTATAACTAGCAGCAAAACTCATCTGCAGTCCTCATATTAAAAATGAATGTAAACAAATTTGCTATCCTTTTTAGGTTCTGATGATTGCGTTTAAAAAGTCTTTCATAATATAAAGAAAATGGGTTTTGTTAGAAGGTGAGCTTTAAGTGAAGTAGGTAAGTGAAGCAAAAAGGAGACAGAGAATTACTACCATCCTGGGCTGGTGTGCTCTGGATTCATAAAACAGTGGAAATGCATGGTAATAGATGGGTTTTATAAATATGCAAACCTCTATTTCCAGAAAGTAGAAATTTCCTTCCAGAAAATTAATACTGTTTCTGCACTAATTTTTGTTAGTGCTTTTTCTGCACTAAAGTTGCTGGTTTAGTGGTGGTGACCTACAGAAACCATCAGCTGCTGCTTTGATGGGGAGATTTGCTGGTTCTCTGCTCGCTTAATGGTGAAGTAGCTTGGATCAGCATAATGATTTGATGCTTTTCATTCTCTGACTTGGTAGCTGGAGGTACCAGCTGAACTCATAGGAAAGGAAGAGAACTGGTGTGCTGTCTTAGCTGCCAGAAAATTTAGTTTTTAGTCTTTTAGAAGCTTGTAATTATATACTTGATAGATATGGGCTAATGTGCTAAAAGATACACTTGTTAGCTGTGCTCTCAAAAGGGTCCCTCCGTTCCATTAATAAAAAAATTGAAAATGTTGTCGTCTTTTTTTTTTTCCTTTCCCCCTTTTTTTGTCCTTTTCGTTTCCTTTTTTGTTTGTTTGTTTTTCCCGTCAGATCACTACCTGGTTAAGAGCTGCTGAAGACAAGGAGTATGACTGGTGTTAGCAAAGGGAACAGGCAGAATGAGGCTTGTATGGTTATGTGCTATTTCTGAGCCTTTGTAAGCAAATGGCCTCAGAGAGCCTGGTACAAAGTGCAGAGCCTGTTTGGGAGTGGAGCCTGAAGTCTGTGCTATGGAGCAAGGCAGCAGCTTAAAAGTAACATGATAACCTTGGTTCTAAATTGCTTCATCATCTTGTTGCTAGACAGTGGTACTGGTAACTTCAGAAAACCAGGAGGTAGCTTACTCTTGTACCTGTGACTTTGTGTGGAGCATCAAGAAACATCGATGAAGGAGAGGTGGTGGTGGATGGGGACCCTTGTGTGGGACCCTGAAGTTCTGCTTCTGCCGCCTGCTTGGGGACTGTAGGAACCTTACTTTACTTTACTTTGCCTTGGTTTCCCAACTTGTGAGAAATTATGATAATGATCTTTGCTGCAAAGCCTTTTAAAATCCTCTGATGAAAAATGCTGTGGAAGAGCTGGGTGCTGTTAATTTAACATGCGTTGCTGGGAATCCCAATGAGACTTACTCCAAATTTACAGCTGGCACTGCAGCCTTCCTCACAATTCCTGTGTTTGCCTTGGACTGCAGCTTATTTTAAATGTCCATCAGTACTAAGTTTAACTCCTTTACTGCTAAATGGTACAATAAACCCACATTTTTTTTATCCTGTGTTCCAGCCATTTATGATGCCAAACGCCGCTGTCATTGAGACAGACCATACGTACTTGTTGTGTAGGAAGCTAAAAGGTTTTGGTGGGAAGAGCAAAACGATGGGAAGTTCAGAAAAACGCTGCAGTTGTCGGGAGCAGAGGCAAAGCAGCTGCCCTGCCGGGGTGATGAGTGGGATGTTAGGGCATGAGGCGTTCCCTTGGATGCTGATGCGCAGACGCATTAACATCAGTGAACTCTGCGTGCCTGTTTTTCCTCAGGGCTTTCTGCAGTCCAACTCCCGTAATCTCTGCACATTGGCTGAGTTTCAGCCATTCCTCCTATCTGTATCCCTGATGTGTGTTTTACCTTGTGTAGACCGTTCTTCGTAGGTGTAACAGCATAGCTCTAGGTGTGTTATTTTTAGTCACTTTACCTAACGGACAGCTTACTTCCCCCTCGCCCCAGCCTTCACTGTGGAACTTCATGAAAACACAGAATGCATAAAAACTTCGGTTTCCCTCCAAGAAATACAATTTAACTTTAAAGTAACTTCCTTATTGTGTTTGTTCCTTTCTCAAGCAGCTGCACTGCAGCTATCAACAAAAGAATAAAGTAATTCTGCTTGGAGAAAACTCATTCCAATTACCCGTAATAATTTGTAGGAGATGTTTAAGTGTAAAGAAACAGCATATGCGGTAGCTCCCCCCTCCCATTCCCCTGCAAGTTTTTCCACTCATCTATTGTATCTATTTTTCACCAGATATTATCTTAACTTAAAGAAATGTGTAATTAAAGTCAGGGAAGGGAGGGAACTGAAAAGGAAGAATAAAATTATTTAGCAAGTGCATCGTATAAAAGGTAATTTTTGTGTCTAGTGTGGGAGGAAGAAATAGCAGAGGCAAATTGGGGAAACAAACTTAAGTGAGTGTTGCTAACTTTCAGGAGGCAGGTGTGGTGTGAACACGGGCTATGTTCCCACCATTAACGAGTCTTTCAGGAGACTAACAGGGGCAAATTGGCAGATGATCCGCTACTAATTCTGATTAGAAGTATGGAAATCTATTTCTGATTTAGTAAATGCATTGTGTTTAATTGATATGTAATGGGCATATCGTGAAGAGTGTTTTAATGAGTTTATTTGTCTTGGGCTGACTTTTCTGCCTAGTCTGTAGGCAGAAATTTGGGATCTTTCTACCCTAGAACACATTTGAATGGTAAACTGCACCGCTGAAATGGAGAGAGTAGAGCAGCTGGGAGGTGGAGGGATGTTAGTTGGGCTGTTCAAGGCTCTGTGGTGTTGCGTTGGTATCTGTCACTTTGATGGTGGTGTAACAGCATGAGAAGGAGCAGATCCATCTCCAGGAGCCTTGAGTACTGCTGCGGCAAGCCCGCAGGAGAGTGTTGCTTCTACTGCTAAGTGAAAAAAGGAGGGCTCTTTCTTAACTGTGGTGGTGGTTTGTATTTTCTTCCACTCAAGGGCTGTTTTTTCACATCCAGAAGTAAACATACAAAACAACGTGATAATTTACCCATAAGAAAACCGACGATTTATTTTTATTGGGTAGTAGTGAAGAAGAGGAGGAAGAGGTGAAGAAGAAAGTTTCCCCCGCTAGAAGCAGCTCAGTTAAAGCCCTGTGCTTGAAATGAGAAAAAAAATCCCGCTAAGTTAAAATAACTCAATGCTGAAGACTCTGAATGTGTTCTGCTTTTTTTGTTTTGACAGGCTTTGCCTGCCAAGTGCTTTCACAGTATATGCCATCGAGTTGGTACCTGTCTGAACCTCAGAACTGGTTTATTGTGACTGTGTGACTGCTCTGTCTTGACTGTCTGTCACAGCTACTGGCTGGTGTTTTTACAGGGGGTTCGATTTCAGCCCAGATACCTCACTGAAGAACTGCAGAGGATTTTCACTGAAGACACTGACTCTGAAACGGAAGCGTTTGAAGGCTTCGCGTCAAGTGAGGTGGATGTGAACAAGAAAGGAGTTCTGGTAAAGGCAGTCATCTATGCGTGGATGTATATGTTGACTTCCTTTTTTTCTGAGTCTTCTGTGTAAATGTCATGTTCTAGTAGGAGTGTTTCTGATACACCATGATGTTATTCCTTCATGCTGAAGAAAAATATGTGTTACCTTAAAAGAGAAAAAAAAATATTTAATGCATTATCACATATTAGAAATGAGAATGTCTTCCCCTGCTTGTAGACTGGCTGTGCTGGGCAAGATTGTTCCTCTGAAGATAGCTGTGTGACAATAATAA